AAAGAATTAATATATTACTATACTATAGAATCCCCTTCTAAATAAAGATAATTCTCTACATTAATTTTTAATTTCTTTAAATGTAGGATAGTGAAGTTTTTATTACTGACAAAAAGACTGATAATTCAGAGGTTTTCTGGAATCCAACACCTGACATTAAGCAATGGAGATTAATAAGGCACACCGTAAAATTTGAAGAACAGGGAGATTTTGAATCAGAAAAGTAAGTATACCGTTTTCAGCTAACTTCATGAAGATCAAAGAGTAGTTTTAATCTCTTAATAATATGGTCATTTTCTCACTTTTCTCTCCCTTCTTTCATATTTTAATTTAACAAAAGAGTTTATCATTTGTGGGATGTGACCATATCCTGTTTTGGTGTACATAAATGTCAAATAAATATAACACAAATCTTGTTTTTCTGTAGCTCAAAAACTAAAACTTTCTGTTTTTCCTTTCTCTTCTTATCTGCTTCAATACCTTAAAAACAAAAAAACATTTTTTGTGTGCATTAAATTATAGGACTAATTAGTAATTCTTAGTTTCTACCTGGCAGCTGATTTCTAACCTGGTTTAGGCATGTAGAATTCTAGGTGAAGCGAGTGGTACAGAATCTACTTTTGTTCCATTCTCCGAAACACAATAATGTCACTCGAAAGACAATAATGTCACTGGATGGGCTGGCTTCCAAAGGACTTACATTAGTTGGGTAATTATTAAGGCCATAGTTTCTGTTCTTAAATCATGAAATTCTTGCTAGATCACTTATATTTATTATATACACATTGCCCAATTTTATTCTTATTATATCTCTCCATGTTGGGACAGGGGCACTTCTGTATGAGAGGTACTTTGCTAGGCACTTGATACACATTATGCAGCCTTGTCCTCACTACACGATCCCACGTGTATCATTCTCATGGGGACTCAAGTCTATGTGTACTTTCCCTTCTACACTCAAAATTGAGATTTTCAAAGATGAAACAATATGTATGCACCAGTTCTAAAAATTCTGTTTTAGCCATAATCACATGATGTTCTCCATCCAGAGCTAAGGTTTGCCAAGGCAAATGATAATTTTTGAGGTGTGGATTTAATTCATACTTTAAAGATGAGAAAATGAGACTTAGGATAAGTAACTTTAAATTCACCAGCTAAGAAGTGGCAGATCTAGGATTCAGCCCAAGTCTGTCTGATCCTAAAGCCTTTGTTCTTTCAGTTTTAACATGCTGCCTTCCCAGATGGGTGGGAAATAGATGTTATACTTTTATTTAACAGATGAAAACACTAGTAGGGGAAATCGTTTTACCTCAGTAGACTTTTCTGTTAAATCAGTGGTTCTCAACACTGGCTGCTCATTAAAGTTCCCTGATAATTCATGCATGCAAGATTGAGAAGCACTGCATTACACTAGTGGATCTTTGAGGCCAGTAAATCTTAAACAGTATGTATAAGAATCAGCAAGGAAACTTGTTAAAAGTGTAGATTCTTAAGATCTATTATATTATTCATTATATTCCTACTTCATTATATTCCTACCATCTTGGGTCAGCAACATTGACTACCTTTTGTTTAATAACCCATGTAAGAAATTTTTCTTGCCAAGAAAATTAGTCTCTACTTATGAACAGGTGTCTCTCTACTCAAGGCACTGAATTTTTAAAACTTGACTCATTTCTAAGCATATGAGCATAAGTGTTGTCAAAACCAGAAATCCATATGAGCATTATTTTCTCTCAAGGGGATTCAAGCCTATTTATTCTATATAGATTTGATTTTCTGTTGCTTTTTTAATGCTGTATATTAGACTCTGGCAGCGGGTAACTCGAGCCATAAATGCCAAAGACCAAACAGAAGCTACTCAAGAGAAGTATGTTTTAGAAGAAGCTCAAAGGCAAACTGCCAGAGATCGAAAAACAAAAAATGAAGAATGGACTTGCAAGCTATTTGAACTTGATCCACTCACAGGAGAATGGCATTACAAGTTTGCAGAGTAAGTAATTAAAAACAGTTTATTTCAAACAATATATTAGCATAGTTTGTGGCCTTTATTTCTGGAATATTTGCTAGACGGTTTTTTTCCTTAAGCCATATATATATTAGTGTGAGATTTTAAACTTGATGTTCCATTCATTATAAACTTTATGATAGTATTAATAGCCTATAAAATAAGCTGAGGATCAGATTAGATATGGCCAAATCTTAATATTAGAACTATATATATAATTATTGAACATCTAATAATAGAATAGAAAGTTTTTAAGTTCTTTGTTCAGTCATCAAGCAAATTTTTTTTTTTAATTTTATGTAGCACCCGACCATGGGACCCGCTTAATGATATGATACAGTTTGAAAAAGATGGTGTTATCCAGACCAAAGTGAAACATCGTACTCCAATGGTATGTAGTAAAAAAGTAACTAGATCTGCCAGGTATATAAATTTATTAAATCTTTATGGTAATAAATATTTAAAATTTGTTTCCAAAATTTAAAACTTGGGGTAAGCAAAATGGCAGAGTACACAGCTCTAAGATCTTGTTACTCCAAAGAAACAATTAAAAAGGAGCAAAAGATGTGAATATAATTAATGCCACTTAATTATACACTTAAAAATGGTAAAATTGTTTTTATACATGTTATCACAATTTAAAAATTTTAAATTGTGTTTTTCTTTAACAACCTTAACAGATAGAGACACACACATCATCTGCATTTCCTCCTAAAGGTAGACTTTCCTGATCATGATAAATCTTTGTATATTTCTAGTTGTATTTCTGACTTCCTTTGTCATTTTAAATAAGTTTCTCACCAGTCTTCATCAATCTCCCATTTGAACCTACTCTAAGAATATGGATTTGTATTCTAAATGTTAGAAAACTCTGTCTCTCCAGCATTTGAAGTCATAGTATAGTCTGAATCCAGAAGCTGCCTGCTTATTGTATATTATAGAAATTTTAAGTACATGAATAAGATTTTGCAAAATTATTCCAAGGAATAAGTAATTGGGGATAATTCCTGTTAGAATCGTGGACAGGTAAGAACGTAGTTAAAGACTGGTTGACCACTGTTTTTCTGTTTTTCAAAGCATGTACATTACCTTGTCTTTCTGATTCTAGTTTCTTCTCTTGCGTTTAGGTTTTTATTAATAAATTTCATACTGATGACTAGAATTGCAAAACTGTCAATAGGATAGACTCTAAAGTTTATTATTCTAAGGAAAATTTAGCCCTAGTTGATGGTTTGACATAATTCTCAATCTTGTGCATGCACTTTAAATGCTTTTAGTAAGTTTAAATAATGCTCTGTAAAATAACAGTATCATTTCTATTCATTATAAGATGTTTTCTGTATTACCCAAATATGACTAAAAGTAAATAATTTAAATAACTTTATTGGAAACCCAGCATTGTTCAAGGAGAATGTTTCTAATATTGGGAACAAAATAAAATGATTTATAAACGCTATTACTTAACATTCTACTGGTAATACTAGCTGATGCAGTCAGAGAAGTTGGGGGATCCATATTCATATTTGTGTGTGCATAAAAATATCTCTGGATGCAAACTAATAGTGGTGGGTATCTATTTACTGGGTTAGACACTGGGTGTGTAGAAGTCAGGAATGAAGAGGGAAACCTCTTCATTATATGTTTTACTTTTTGATGTTTGTGCCAAATTGTTTCCTATTAAAATAAAGATAATTTGATTACATGAGTGCATCCCATCTTGTTAAATTTTAGACTGTTTCATCTTTGTCTATATTTATGAATATCATGCCTATTAACAGACAACTTTTGACAGTTTTGACAGACAAAATACAGTGCAAATTCACATAATATTGATATTTTTTTTCCTTCAGGTTAGTGTCCCAAAAATGAAACATAAGCCAACCAGGCAACAGAAAAAAGTGGCAAAAGGATATTCTTCCCCAGAACCTGATATCCAAGACTCATCTGGAAGTGAAGGTAAAAATATTGCAGATGCTTCACTTTAAGAGTCTAATTTTTGAGAAAGATATTACTGTACTACATTTAAGGTATGAAATGGCTTTTTATATTAACTCAAGAAGATATATAAGAGTTTTGGTAGGGGCAAGGACAGAGAGTACAAAAGCTGTTCTAGATCACAGATGAGCTGCAAGACCACCATGAGGTAAAGGCAAGGGAAATGAAAAAAGGGGAGACATGCAAATAAGAACTACACTGTAATAGTAATTCTTATGCCTTATTAGCTTCTGAAAAATTGTTGATGGTTCCTTAGGCTGAATTCAGGAAGTATTTTTTAAGCTTTGAGCTTAGTTCCATGCTTCAAAAAAGTTTTTCATTCCTGGAGTAAATTATTGTAGTATTTGGAAGTCACAGGCAAGTAAAAATAAAACTATATTAAAAACTTACGGACTACTAGATTAAATAATATGCCATTTCTTGTTCAAGTCAGATAATGTGTAAACTGTCTTGAACTACAATTGAGATATAATCAAGAAAAGACTAAGGTAATGTCTGAGACATTGTGAGAAAATTAAAAAAAACTTTAAGCCATAATCTCTATTAAGTTTACACTAAGCTGGGGAGTCCATTTTCACCTACAGGGATAGTACTAAAAGGTGAATAAATGGTAAATAGCAGGAAATTTGTAAATGGTAAGGGATAAAGAGTTTAAAGGAGAGGGAGCTCAATTCAATTTTAGCAAAGGTTCTTAGAAGAACCCTGATGCCTGTAATCCTAGCACTGTGGGAGGCTGAGGCAGGCAGATTGTTTGAGCTCGGGAGTTCAAGACCACCCTGAGCAAGAGCAAGACCCTGTCTCTAGTAAAAAAAATAGAAAGAAATTAGTTGCACAGCTAAAAATATATAGAAAAAATTAGCCGGGCCTGGTGGCGCATGCCTGTAGTCCCAGCTACTCAGGAGGCTGAGGCAGGAGGGTTGCTTGAGCCCAGGAGTTTGAGATTGCTGTGAGCGAGGCTGATGCCACGGCACTCTAGCCTGGGCAACAGAGTGAGACTCTGTCTCAAAAAAAAAACTTTAAGCCATAATCTCTATTAAGTTTACACTAAGCTGGGGAGTCCATTTTCACCTACAGGGATAGTACTAAAAGGTGAATAAATGGTAAATAGCAGGAAATTTGTAAATGGTAAGGGATAAAGAGTTTAAAGGAGAGGGAGCTCAATTCAATTTTAGCAAAGGTTCTTAGAAGAACCCTGATGCCTGTAATCCTAGCACTGTGGGAGGCTGAGGCAGGCAGATTGTTTGAGCTCGGGAGTTCAAGACCACCCTGAGCAAGAGCAAGACCCTGTCTCTAGTAAAAAAAAATAGAAAGAAATTAGTTGGACAGCTAAAAATATATAGAAAAAATTAGCCGGGCCTGGTGGCGCATGCCTGTAGTCCCAGCTACTCAGGAGGCTGAGGCAGGAGGATTGCTTGAGCCCAGGAGTTTGAGATTGCTGTGAGCGAGGCTGATGCCACGGCACTCTAGCCCAGGCAACAGAGAACCCTGATGAATTATTATGATTTCTAATGGATTTATAGCAATCTAGGCTTGGAGGGGTGGGATAGGGGAGCATACTGGAATTGTAGAGGAAAATGAATAAAGATTTAAATAAAGATGTAAATAAGATTCAAATAAAATGAATAAAGATTTAAAAGCAGGAGTCACATGGTACATGGCTGGGTGCTAAGAGGGAATATTGGTTGTAGCGTTGTTGTTTCTATTTTATAGGAAACTGAGACACAGACTTAACCTGCCCAAGGTCACATACCCTTAAGGGCGGCGGGTGAGGGGGGAGAGAGAGAGAGTGAGTG